GGGACAAAAATAACTCACCAGGTTGGTTTCACAGGATCTGTCAGCACAGGGTGTCAAAATTATAATGATTAATATCATAAACTCTTATATCTAGTAACCAACCTATTCCAGTATAGAAGGTAAGCAATCCCTTGATATTGCATAGGATGTCTACTTGGTAGCGTTCAGTTTTTGAGTTTTTTGTTGACTGAGCAGTCCGATTCTTGAACAGCAGATTTGCAGACAGATATATATCCAGTAGAACTATTCCAGTATAAATGTCCAGAAACAGTAGGGAGGGAAGGAACCTCATCCTGAGCCCCTCACTGAAAACTACCTCCGCAGAGGGCCCTCTCACCTGAAAATACCTCTGTATAGGGCTCAGGACTCCAGAGACTAATTTTTAAATGAACCGAGTAAAATTTGCTACCATTTCCTTGAAATTATTACTAAATACCATACAGACACACTTGACATTTTTTTGTACACTTTTGTGGGTCATTGTACCTCAGGCACTTGTTATTGTGCATACTCCCCCAACAGAAGGGACCGAAATTTCCTGGGGGATGAAGGGGGGGGGGGGGGGAGGGGTCTGGGTTCTCTAAGAACAAAAATCTTAAAGAAATGTATGACTCGTAATTGGAATTTCCAGAGGGGTGGGGGATCTTATAAAAAGTCCCTTCCATGGGGAAGATATGGATATTTTCTGGAACTGCAGTACAGTAACAAACATATTCTGTGAAAGCACACTAAAAATAAAAAATGCTCATCTTTTACATTATAGGGCTGCTGCTCTGGGTTCTGCATTCACACCTATTTAAGACTCACATATTTCTTGGTTATTAATGATCTAGATATTGTGTTTTTTTCTACTGTATTCTGTACTGCTTTCCACCTGTAAATTAAAATAATGAGAAATGAAGATGTGATTTGATTTGATATGAAAAGTCCTCATTAGCCACCAAAACTAGTGTATTTTAATTGTTATTAATTAAAAACCACTGTCTTTTAGGTTGTGGAACAGGCAAGTACTTGGGTCTTGCTCCAGAATCCTTTATTCTCGGCTCTGACAGCTGCTTGAAATTAGGTGAAATTGCTGCTGAAAGGGGCCACAATGTTGTGGCCTGCGACAATCAGAATCTTCCCTTCAGAGACAACAGTTTCGATGCTGTGATCTCTGTTGGAGTCATTCATCATTTTGCGTCTGCAAGGAGGCGCATCAAAGCACTAGAGGAACTTTATAGGATTCTTCAACCTGGGGGAAAAATGTTAGTGTATGTTTGGGCACTTGAACAAGATGAGCGAAAGGTCTGTGAGAAATTTATCAATTTAAATGGCTTATACTTTAATTCTCTTTAATTGTTTTAGCAGTCGAAGTATATCTGTATAATTCCCAGTATTTCCTAGTAGAGGTTGAGATATCTAGCATGGATAAATATTATTATATAGATGCAATATATCTTTTAATTCCTTCAACTTTGTTAAAATAGTACAATTTAATAGGTTGCTTTATTGACCAAAGCACAAATAATCTCAGCCCTGTGATTAGTGACCTTTAAACATCAAGATTGTGCCTTTTATAAGCTGCTTATGACTGGGCCAGGGTGGGTGGCAAAAGTGGATTTTGCCCCTCCCCCCAACCCACTGAAACTTGAAACTTACGGGATTTATATTAGGTTACGAGAAGTTTCCCTAAGTTTGAGGTTAGCAACGAGAGATGACGTCATATTACATTGTAATTATGTCATAATTCAGGCAACCGCTGTATTGGATTTCTTGTTTTATTTTTATTTTTAAATCTGAAATTTACCAGAAACGACTCAACTCTAATCAAAATTGATTTAACACAATGTAAGTTAAGTTATCGTTATAGTTGCCTAAGTTATACACAGTTAAAGGAAGTGCAGTCACTTTCTACCCCCTCCCCCCCGCCCGTCTTAATAAGGATTGTTAGAAGAGCGTCTTACAGGGGGGGTCTCTGGCACGGTTCACGAACAGAAAAAATAGAGGATCACGGATATGAAAACTTCGTTTTCCCGAATCACGAAAATAAGCAAGTAAGATACTCTTTTTAATGACCTGTTCTTACACTAATAGTGTTTGAAGAAAGTAAAGTCGTGAATGGCTAAGTCAAGGCTTCATATTGCAAATCGCATACCTAAGTCACTCTCGATAGACAACTCTAACCATTCGGAGGATTGCGTCTGAAAATCACGTAGAATAGAGTGGTAAAATCACGAATATCGATTAATAATTTAGGATCTTCACGGGTCACGCAAAACCTTCAGGTCACGAGTCACGAAGAATAATTTTCTAAATTGACGTTTCACAGAAAATAAAATCAGATAATCACGCATCACGAGAATACCCCCGTGCGACCCTCTTAGAAGAGACAGCTCAAAAAGGTGCAATTGTTAATTCTATGTATACAAAAGTTTTAGTTTCCTTTTCACTGTTGATTTTTAGTTTGATGGTCAAGACGTCTTAGTTCCTTACACACATTATCAGAGGAACAAAGGTAAACTAACTTAAATCGTCTTATTGTGCAATAAAGTTGTTGTTTTCATTTTTACATTTTTTTAAAAATAAGTATTAAAATTATCAATTAACTGCTAGATTTCAATATTGATCAGCTACAGGAAAAAAATTCAGAAATGCTTATTTTACCATTTTGACAAAAAATGATGCCCGAATCGGATTTCCAGGATTTCAGATAACTCTTAAAAATGACCACCCACACTATCATTTCATTATCCTTTTGGCAGGGCTCTCTGTCCCATCCTTCAATTGTATTCTCTTTTGTACGACCCCTAAATTTGATCCGGTCCCTCTCTGCAGCCCCATACCTCCCCCTGCTAAAAATGCCTTATTAACTCCCTTAAAACAGATTCTCCTAAAGATTTGTATAAAAATACAGTGGAACCTCCCGGGCTTAACCTTTTGGGTGGTCGCTTATGGGAGGTTCGACTGTATACCATTCTAGTGCTTTGTAAGCTTTCTTCAGAGTATGCTTCAATAACACCCTCCTTTGCAAGCTTGCAAGGGGTGTGTGTTCTCAGCCTGCTGGCAGTCTGTTTTTCTCGCAAAATCAGGCCGGGAGTTCGTGGCGAGATGCTTTACACACGAACAGACTTGGACAAAACATGGGCGGGACACTCATTCGCCCCAACCGCGTTTTCGTCCACACCTCCCCTTTGCGTTCGCATTCACGGATAAACACTCGTCAGGCCCTCAAAAGGAAAGGATCAGGAAAGAACGGCTGCCTAAGTAATCCAGCTCTCAGGTCCTAAGGTTAAAGCGTTTTTGGAGTACCTTTTCACCCGCGTTGTATTTCGAAGGGAACTTTTTGCCGTAAATCTGGTTTGCAGTGCAAGATGTTCACTTTGAATTCTGGTCCTTATGTAGTGAGGACTAATGCATTCCTTTGCGCATGTGCGGCGAATTGATTTATTATTTGCCCTTTGTGAAGGCTTTCACAACATATTTCGTATATTTGTGTTACTATCGTTTTATTTATTGTTGTTTAGGGAAGGTACACGAAGCGGCTGGTTCCATGAGAAGGGTCAAGTGCGGGACAATGAATAATTGTAAAGCCCTACTAGAAAATTGCAAATTTTCCCGGGCGGCGCGTGCATGGTACTGGGAACTGGGTCACCTGCGATCAGGCGTTCCATTTTTTCGTGGGATGGAGAAAAAAGAACGCGTGATGCATTTACGCAGCAACAAAAAAAGAAAAAAACAACGTCTGATCTCAGGTTAGGTACTAACTAGGTCGTAGGAGTTCTATTGTTAAAAAAACCCTCCCAGTTCCAGTAGGCCTTCCAGTGTCAATCAAAGTTTTCCAAGCGCATAATTGTGACCCATGTCCTTGAAAAGGGGCCACTCTCCAAAAAAAATTATTGCCGCATTATTATCAACTTACTACTGTTTTATTCCGTTTACAGTTGCGGCTCGAAGAACACTGTCTACACCTGTGATATCAAGGTTCCAGTCACAGGTTAGAGGATCACCGCGTTCGTCTGCTATTTCATGGCGATCACGGCGAGCATTCTCTCTTGATAGCCGAGACAGAGAAAAGAATCAACTTCGGACGCAATCACCTTGTGACGAGGAACTCCACAAACAACGTCCTCTCCGAGAAATGATTCAAAATGGCAGCCCCGGGAAATATGCCGTACTGCAACACGTTAGGAACGGAGGAAACACTTGTTCCTTTGAAACGGAACACAATCTTGATTGTGCTGACCTCTCCGAGGCTAATCCTGTCGCAAAGTTTAAGAAGTTTCTCGACAACTTCATAGAGAAAATTTTTGATGGCAAAGAATCGGAGCAGACAGAGAGTCACGCTCAAGAGAAGTCCAATGCCAATCTTGTTTCCATGGACACTGGCAAAGAGTTCAGCTCCAAGTTGTCGACTTTGCTGTCCTATTTTTCCTCAGAAAACCGGGAGAAATATTTCAAGGGAGAGTTTCTTTCCTTGCTGGCGAAAAAACTGTTTCCTAGAAAAGACGAGTTGAATCTAAATGAGTTTAGCGAGCTATCGGCTGATTGCAAGGAGACTGGTAATGAGCCGGCACCGGGGGGGAAAGGAGACAATGTTCCCAGAATGTCTCAGGCCAGTGACGTCATCATTTGCATGAATGGGAAAAGAGCTGATGGACGCCAACCGGAAGGAAGAGTTGAGAATGTGAACGGAGTTAGCCTCAGTGTAGTCGCTAGGCTTGTCGAGTCCTTGGCTTCCTCAAGCGATGCAGAAAGTGACAGCTCTAGTTCCAGTGATTATTTAACGTCGGAATCCAGTGCTGCAGAGGACTGTGACCGAGTGCAAACCTCGCTCGTTTCCCGCCGCAAAAAGACCTTTCAGCATACCACTGTTAATTGCCAAGAAAGACCCGGGAAGGTCTTGGCCAAGACGGCGGCTGCCGAGGACTCGCTGTCTTCATCTTCGTCATCGTTGGTTTCAGCATCATCATCATCGCTGTCATCGTCATCCTCATCATCAAGAAAGCCCCCCAAAAAAACAAAAAGCAAGCTCTACCAAAGATACTATCATGTCTTCTGTGCTGGGGAGTTGGTCAAGCTAGTTCAAGATGGCATTCCGTCAGCTGTGGTCTTGAAAGAATATCACGACCACGGAAATTGGGCCGCCATTTTGGAAAAGACAGAAGTATAGAGTGATTGTACTAGCCTGCGAGCGGGCTCACCTTTGAGACACACGCGTAAGGGAGGGGCGAGTCGCCGACAAAACGATCCGGCAGGGAGGAGTCTTGTGCGGAAGCTTCTTGTCTCCAAACGTGTCTCGTGTCGTGTCTTGCGTTTGTCTCCAAACGGAGCCTGTACGCAGGCTATGATTATCCAAAAACCAGAAAAAAAAAAAAAAGAAAAGAAAAGAAAAGAAAGAAATTTCGGATTTTGTAAACTCACTCTATCTTTGGTTTGAAAGTCTTTTTTTAAATTAGTTTTATCTGGCGTTAAACAAGAGCAGGAACAAAACAATTTTTGCGAAAGGGATTGATAAGAAATATTTATTTTATGACAGGTAAATTTTAAAAATTTTATAGCATTAAAGAAGGCCATTTATATTTAACACCATAAGTATATTTTTTTGGAATTTTGCCTTTTATTTGCAAATGCTTTGCCATGTTGTCGCATACGTTTTAAATTAAATCGTGCTTTTAAAGATGTATAATTTATGGAAAATATTTATTTAAAGTTATGGAATACATGTAGCTGAATGTTATGAGAGAGCTTAGCTGTAATTTTACTAGTCTCCTTTGCGGTCCATGTTTAGGTCGTCACGCAATGTTCAGGTTGTCACGCAACTTTGCGTGACGCTGTTGAGAAAAATTGCATGACATTCGAAGCAAGGCTTTGAAAGAAAAAATGAAAACTTAGAGCTGAGTAATAAGTATTTGAAGTGTTTCCTATTTTTTAATGAGTTTAGCAAAGCTGATTTTTGAGATTATTATGAATCAAGAGAAGGAAGAATAATTTATTTTGCATGTTGTTCACTATAAATGATGTTGTTGACTTTTTAAGTAAGTTAAAGGCGAAGGGAATTTTTTTAATTTTTACCGTACATTTGCGATGTTAATAAAAAGACTTGTCATACCTGTTTCACAGGCTAAGGAACCTTGATGAATCTCTATATATTGGTCCTCCAAGGGGACCTATAGGAAAGGAACGGGTGATATTTTCCTGGGGCCAGGTTATGTGAGGGGACGTTTCCTTAGCGCATTTACGGCTAGCTGGGTCAAACGTTTAACAGCAATCCATCAGATTGCTGTGTTCGTCAGTAGGATCATCTTCATATGAAATCATTATGATCACTTCTGGAAGTTTTCTATTTTTTTTTTCCGCTGTGAGCATCAAAGGTTCTCTTTTCCACGTCTCCTTTCTCTCTCTTTGCAATTCCTTTCCTATTCGAGATTTCTTGGCGCTTCGATTTCAATGCTCACTGCGACTCTCTTGTACTTGGATCGTCAAAAGACTCCATAACAATTTTCCGGGTAAGGATGTCCTCGGACCCCCTATGGGACTGCTTTCGGCGTTCCCTATCTCGAACCCCTTCACTAAAATCCTGTATCCGCCCCAGATAGGGGTTCCTTGGATCTCTGATTTAACCTGTCAGGTAGGCGGGAATACTTGACATCACTGGCTGTTCAGTTGGGCCACTGGAATTTGATATCGTATGGCGGGAATTTGAGCAAGTTGGCTGGAAAGCGTCCAGGGACAATCCCGTCTTTGTAATATGATAATGAAGCAAGGCTGATTACTACGTAGTGGGCTTTAACGGATCATGTACAATGCATGACACGATAGAGTCCAACCTGAAAGCCAAGAATTGCAACCGTGGACAGCTGTTTGTTGCCACTGACTGTACTGACGAGACCCATGCCAACCAGGTCGAAACAGCAGTCCACTGTTGCAATTCTTGTCGTTCTTGGCTTGGCTTTGAACTCTGTCATGTAGTTGCCCCGTTAAGCTTTCTACGTAGTAATCAGCCTTGGTTCATTGTTATGTTTCTATTCTTGGCTGATCAGATCTGCTATAGATCCTGTGTATACCGGCAGCATTTTCATTTACGGTTCTTACATCATCAGTATATCATTGTGGGTAAAAAAAGAAAGGTCTTCAAAAAGCTTTTGTTGTGTTAGCATTTCAGAACCAAACTTCAGGACACAAATGATCTCATTATTCTCATAAATGCCCGGGGACTGCCCGCGGGGTTGCCCGCAGGAGCAGCACTTTTTATGGCATTTGTCACGTGATCATTTTGAGGAACCTGGGGGCGAGATGCCGAAAAAAGAAACAATACCCCGGAACAGCGCCATTGCCATATGGCCGCCATTTTTTTGTCGTGGTTTTCACATCCTTGAAGGTAATTTAAATCTTCTCCTCCATTTCCTGACTGTAGATGTGGTACCTGGCATTAGAGCTTGGAACCCTCGCTTCTTTATATGCGAAAAAAGAGCACCAATGTAAAGTCTGAATCTTGAGAACCTCTTGAAATCTGCTTCGCTTGCATTTTCATCATGGGAGATATCATTGTTGACACTTTCCACTACGAAGCTCACAGCCTACCGAACGAGGCTTTTGACGTTTTGATTCAGTTCTTCCGAGAGCAGAAGCTTTGCGATGTGATTATCCAAGCCGGAGAGCGAAAGGTGAAGTGCCATCGTGTTGTTTTGTCTTCATGCAGTGCATATTTTCGTGGCATGTTTACGAATGAAATGATGGAGAGTTCTCAAGACACAATCGTAATCCAGGGACTGTCTGAAGAGGCGGTCATTCAGTTGATTAACTTTATGTACACGCGAAAAATAACAATCAGTATTGACAATATTGAGGCTCTTTTGACCGCTGCAGCCGTATTTCAACTTGATTTGGTTGTCCACGCTTGTTGCGAGTTTATGAAGCGACATCTTCACCCATCAAACTGTTTGGAAATGAGAGCTTATGCAGAGCTTCACGGCTGCGTGGACTTTATTGAAGCAGCCGACTCTTACTCAAGGAGTTGTTTCTTGAGTCTTATGAACACAGAGGCCCTTCTTAAAACGTCTTTCAGACACTTTCTCTCCATTATTTCTGGAGATGATCTTTACGTCAAACGGGAGGAGCAAGTTTTCGAATCCATCACTGCTTGGGTACGGTACGACTTGATGTCACGGGAACAATTTCTGCCAGACTTGATGACTCATGTACGACTACCCTTGATTGCAACTGAGTACCTCATACAACGCGTTGAACGAGACAGTGCCATTAGAAGCAATGTTGCTTGTCGAGATTTGGTTGATGAAGCCAAGAACGTCAAGCTTTTTCCTTCTTTAGTGAAAGCAAACATCAGAACTCAACCACGCAAATCGACATCTGGGGCTTTGTTTTCTGTTGGTGGCCGTGGGAAGTCAGGCGATCCTCTCCAATGTATCGAATGCTATGACTGGTTTCACAATTGCTGGTTCCAGGTAGCAGAAGTCTCCACCCCACGACGTCATGTTGCTGTGGCTTCAGTAGCAGAGAAAGTTTATGCAATTGGCGGTCATGATGGCTCTCATCACCTTAACACTGTGGAATGTTTTGATCCTGAAATTAACCAGTGGAAGGAAGTCGCATCCATGGAAATTTCACGGCGTGGAATGTCAGCTGGTGTCTTGGAAGGAGTGATTTATGTTGCTGGAGGGTTAGATGAAGCCACCTGCTTTGATACTGTCGAAAGGTAGTTTGCATACTTTGCACTGTAGGCTGATGTTAAAAATTAGATTTCCTTAGGCAAGTGATTGAATCCCCAAAACTCCAAATTGAAGAAACTACACAGATTACTTCACATTGCTTTGATTTTCGACCAAATCTCAGAGAGATACTCACAACTGGTAAAAGAGAGATACAGGTGTAGCCTGTGCATGACATTACATGTAGTTTAGTTGGGAAGAAGCATGGGGATTGTAAAGAGGATAAAAAAGGCAAGAGTTTCACCTCAAATCCTACCCTTTTTTTCCAGTCACCATTCTTGTTGTTGTTGTTCGGCTAACTGATCTCCAAGAGTAGACATAGAGAGAGATGCCTGTCAGTGGACCACTTTGATAATGTCATGCATAATCAAAAAAATTTTTTTTGGTATTTTTCATATAGACAAAAAACCACCTCCCTAGAACAATTAATCATGTTGAATTTAGAAAGTACACAAAGTTTCATGAAAGTCTTGTTACAACAGTCACAGAAATATGGAATTCCAGACTAGCCAAGTTTTACAAAGAAATGTATCCTTGCCACTGGCATACATTTCATTTCCTTCTTGTGCTTGCAACCAAGTGCATTGAGCAACACTGAAAAGAGGAAATAAAAGTACTCACAGTTGTGGGTACAATTTAACTGTGTTGTCTTCATCCACCCATCCATTTTCTTTTCAGATATGACCCAGAGAGTGATTCCTGGAGTACAGTTGCTCCTATGCTGATGCCCCGAGGGGGCGTGGGTGTAGCAGGCCTGGGAGGTTACCTTTACGCCGTGGGTGGCAATGATGGTGCAGCATCTCTTCAGAGTGTAGAGAGGTACAATCCTCACACTAACAAGTGGAGTCGAGTAGCACCCATGAACCGCAGAAGAGCAGGTGTGACACACAGTATTTAAAGTTTTCCTTTTGTTTGATGTTAATGCATGTTTATAAGCTGTTTACTTGAATTGTATTTGTTATTGTGTACATTGCTGTTTTCGTAGTGGTTAGCATCTAAAACTTTTACTGTCTTGCCCAGGGTTAACACAACATGATGACACATGAACTTCTGGCAAGGCTCCATGTCATCAGGTATCATGACCATGTTGTGTCAACCCTGGGCAAGACAGTAATAGTACCTTTAATATATCCAAATATTTACACATTTATTCAATTGCGCATGTTGGGAAAAATGCTTTACCCACCTCAAGTAAGTTCGCTGGAAATACTGAGAGGGAAGAGGGATTTCAAAATCCGCAGTTTGTTATTATGGGATTTGAAGCTACAGTACTGTAACATGTAATTTCCAGAGGGTTTAGGGGTTCAAACCAAATCTTTCAGGCCTTGGGTGAGATATGGAAGGGGATATTTTACGAGGATTTGTTATTTTCAGAACAACATGACTGTCCAAAGATTTTTGTACTCTGACAAAAATTGAAGTGCTATAAAAATGTCCAAAATCCTGAGAATTCATAATTCTTGGATGACAAAAGTTGATATAGAAATGCATTAAAAAAACAGAACTTGTTTCACCTTGATGAAAATTGCTGAAATTACTGATTATGATAAAAACTTAGACTATGTTCTTGGCAGCTCTTCTCTTGTCATGGTAAAAATAAAAAAGGTAAAGACTGTTTTCCTTGCTTTGCCAAGTACAAGGACTTCAGATATCATCAGTTAACATGGAAATGTGTGGCAAGCAAATCAAAAGAATTAATATTTTGAATACAACTTGGGAACGGGTATTAGGTCTCTAATGTACAGCATTTCCACAGGTGTTGGTGTTGCAGTAGGAGGAGAATTCCTCTTTGCCATTGGTGGATTTGATGATTCCTCACCATTGGATTCTGTTGAGAAATATGATCCTCGTACCAACCAATGGACCTATGTAGCAAACATGACAACCTGTAGGGGAGGGGTGGGTGCTGGTGCTATGGGAGGACGCCTGTGGGCAGTTGGAGGCCATAACGGGGAACAATATCTAAACTCAGTTGAGTCCTACAACCTTTTGGCTGATCGTTGGGAGGGAAGTGCTCCTATGCATGTGTTTCGTGCAGGATCTGGGGTGGTGGGAAGTTTTTGTGATGTTGAAGCTCTAAGAAATGTACAAGATTCATCTACTCACAGAATCAAGGAAGAGGTTTGAGCAAATTCACAAATGATAGATGTATAGATAGTACCAGGTTCTGAAAAGAGTGGAGTGAATTTTAAATGACTTGTCGAAATCGCCTCGAGTCTGTGAATCACAGAATTTTAAAGAAACAGGGTTTCACAAGCCTGTAAAGTCTTAAAGGGAATCTGGCTAAAAAAGAAAATGTCCTGTAGACTCCCATATTTAGATTGCTGACCACACAGTGTGACGACTCAGTGATGTCACTTATTAGCATAAATAAACTGTGACAAATATACAGACACACTGAAGCTCGAACTACGTTTCCAGCCAAGATTCCCTTTAAAAAAACTTTTACTTTTTGCTACATGTACCATGATAGTGCCCCACTTATGCATTCATAGATGTACGTATATTAAGTTGTCTCACCGAGTTGAACAATAGTTTAGGTTTGTAACATGACCTGCAAGTGTGTGATTTGTGCACATTTGCCTCTGCTTAATGTTGACCAATCCACACTCACTGGTTGCCAAAACCACTCTAGAAATCCTAGAGCTAAAGGAGGTTCTCATTGTAGCTTCTCTAAAATCCCACAGTTGCAAATGATTCTGCCATGGTACAAGAAGCCTGTGATACACATAGTGATACACATTTCTCTTAAAACGAATCTTCGTCCCAGTTCCTCACATTTTAGTACAAACTGCTATAAATTAGTAAATAACTTCACGTGATCAAATTTGCCATTTCAATTCACAGCAAGACAGTTTGCAAGCAGTTTATTTTTGGAAAGAATGAAACCATTTCCTTGTGTTATTTTGTTAGTTAGTGGTACAATGTACAAAGTAGTTTTCATATTCATATGTCCATATTTTTATCATGTCATTACTTTCACTTTGATGCAGAACCATAGATACATTATTTTCATTCTTTAGAAACTAGAATATTCAGTTTCTGTTGTATTTTCACATTCTTATGCGTAGGAATATTCTTCAGTGTACTGAAAAGGAAAAAGTACGAAGTAGTTGATAATAAAAATGATTTGGGAATGTGTTGGACAAAGAGATTTCAAATGCAAGAAAGTACCACAAGATTTAAGTTTTGCTTTTGTTTAACCCACACTACATGTACATGTACACTTAAGTTGCATTGTTACATTTAATCAGGTTGCTTTCATTTACACATTGTTTTTGGTCAGGCGTTCAACAGCATTATGGCATACATGCAGTTTAATAATACTTTGGTATAGTAACTTCAAAGTTATGTTAGTGACGTGAGTAAATTTTGTTGTTAGAAGTGTGCTTAAGGCTTTGATAGAACTTGAAAAACTTGCAGAATCTCTGCAGATATTGTAGCAAATATGATTGCTTTTTTATGCAGTAATTTAACTGTGGATGTGGTTCTTTAACGAATGAATATAGAGGTTTTAAAGTGGTTAATATCAACTGTTTTTCCAGCGTGTTTACTTTGTAGTCTACATTGTTTGTGGCGTGAAATAAAAAGAAATAATAAAATAGTCTTGAATTCTTGTGTGTATCTTTTTTGAGATAATAATTTTGTTAAAAAATACCTCTTAGGAGTGGATTAGTGAGTGAGCGAGATATATTTTTATGTCACACCAATCAGATTGGGGCTACTATGAACAACCAATCAAATTACCGCTTTTAAAGGTGAACCATGAGTGTGAAGATTTCATCCCGATTTTAGAACGGCCATCTTTGGTTTTCTACAAACAGGGACAGGTTTTCTTGTATTGGCCTTATTCCGACATTTCCGATGCTTTGTTTATTGTGGTAACATCAGGACTTTGTGGGTGGTTTTCAACTGAGAGTTCAATATTCGATAATCAGCCGAGGAATCAAAGTCTTTGGCATACACTGACGTGTGATAATGGCTTTGCTTTTAGTCGCATTCCATTCGAATGGCACGAGTCGGTCGACTGCAGAATGAACGCAGTATTGGGATGGTGAGCGGGTCTTCTAGAAAGGTTCTCCCTATTTCGCTTTTCAAGAATTATTGGAATGTTCGCGGAAAATACTCTCTAGCCTCGCACGTTTATTTTCAGCTTATGAAGCGGTGCACCCAATCATCAATGCCTGGTTGTAATAGCTAATTAACCTGCGTCTGGTCAGACGCGTAGAGGGATACCATCTACTGAAAATCAAACCCACGGAGTCGCACTTAGAGTACCTTGGTTCCATTTATGATGTAGTAAATACTACTGATTGCTAAAGTTGCAAGCAGAAGTCGAAGAATAAACCAATCACAACGTTCGATACCAGACATCGTGATCAGCTGGTTCTTCCTCTTCTGCTTCAGATTCCAATGAGGCACAATCTAGTTTGAATCTAGTATACACTAAATCATAACCGACGGATCCGTACCGTAAGCGGAATCGGAAGGAAATGGAAACATTCTGCTGATTCTTCCGACTCCGTAAAACTTATGACTCCGCTTACGACTGCGATTTTAGGACTTTCGCTACAGTGCGCGGTGGTCCTAGACCCGGGGAGACTCCCATATAAAAGGACGGGGGTGCTCGTCGGTAATTTTGAACAGAACCCCTAAGAGGTACCAAGATCCTATTTTTGGGTGTGGCTTGAAAAATGTTTCACCCCTAAGACCTACCAATTCTAAACAACACATTATCTCCAGTCATATCTTTTTCGGCCAATACCCTATAAGTTACCCCGGGAACAGTTACCGCTAAAGCTCCCGCTGTGGACCTGTATTGAGACCTTGATAATCTCTTAATTGAGACTGAACACCATAAGAGGTAGCAAAATCGCTTTTTTAACCCCTAAAAGGTACGACGAGCACCCCCATCCTTTTTATATGGGATTCCCCCCTCCCCCGGGGGTCCTAGGTCATAAGCGGATCAGTGCGATTAGCCCGCGAGCAGGTTCACGTTTGAATCACACGCGCGAGAGAAGCGATCCGGCGGGTTGGAGTATGGTGAAGAGGCGCCAAGAAATTAGAAAGTACAGTCCGATGCGACTGACTGTTTTTTGACTCCGTTGCGACGCATGGCAACTAATGACCGCATGCAATACCCATGACAGTACCTGACAGATCTATAGTTAGACAGATTATGGGGAAGTCCTTAGGGAAGTCTTGGAGAGGTCAAAGAAGTAATTCCTGGCAACAGAGGTCTCGGTCATTTCGTCGACCGAGAAACGACAGAGTCGAGAGAGACTGGTAAAGATTACGCAATTCAATATGGCGTCCATGAACAGAGTTTTGGCTTCGCAGCCTTCAAGATCTTTCTTTGCGTTTAACAAAACGGTAAATTTTCCTTGGATCATAGCAATGTGTTCACACGATTTTTATCTTTTCTTTAATACTTACGTATTAAATTTTCTTTCTGATTTGCCAATGGCGCTTTGCAGCTTTGTTTCAACGTCTCGTCGTGCAGTTGTGTTTCACTGAGGAGCCGAAGGTTTGCAAGTTCCCTGTCCGCCGAGAAGAAATCTTTGATAGCAGAGGGACCTAGTCTTGGCGAGTTTATATCAGGAGAATTCAATCCTCAAGAGAATCCTTATAAAAGAAAAAAGGGGCAAAGGTATACCTAATAGCAAGCGATCTAATGTTGCATTTTGTTTATAGTACATATGTAAGTAAGAGAGCTGTGAAACATTTTGTCGGGATATAAGTTACTTGTAAGCTTTTAAAGTTTTTCTTTCATTTACCAACTACAGTAGAATCCTGATTTCTCAAACCTCTCATTAAACCAAAAGTCATTTCTCTTGGATTTGTCTTACTCTTGATTTTTCAAACAAATTTTCGTTTCCTATGGAGGTTTGCCAAATTCGGATTCCATTTGATTATTATTCAAACGGTCAGTGCAAAATGCAGACTGCAGATTGCAGACTGCACACTGCATACCAGGGGTGAAATGCAGACTAAGGGTGAAATGCAGACTGCAGACTGCAGACTGTAGGCCTTTGAACTGAATTGTGTCACTATTTTCATCATTGAGAGCTAATGGTCAACAGGCTAACTGGAGCATTATTTAGAGTAACCTGAGTGATATAAAGGCTAACCGGAATGATATTCAGTCTAACCAAAGTGATCTTCAGACTAACCGGAGTGCAGATTTTCATTGCCATTAGCTGGAAGAATCCTATTTACGGTCAACACTCGATAATGGAAATATTACGACATACACTAAAAAGTCTGTAGTCTGCAGTCTGCATTTTACTCCTGGCCTGCACCCCTGGTATGCAGTCTGCAGTCTGCACTTCACAGTCTGCATTTTACACTGACCGACTGATCAAATGTGTAATGAGCTGTTTGCTATTCTGCCATTTTGTTTAGATTGCGATTACCACCATGGCTAAGAACACAGATTCCTATTGGTAAAAATTACCTCAAACTAAAAGAAACACTCAGGGAATTGAACCTGTCCACAGTAAGTATCTTGCTCTGAATGACCCTTAAGTTATGAGAGTGATGAAAATCTTATTACTCCACATAGTTTATCAATACCTTGTTGAAAAAGTAGGATGTGTATAAAGAAAATCTTTGACTAGGGCATGTCATGTACTGTCTTGGCATACATTGTCCCTTCAGAAACACTTTTGCTACCAACTGGATCCATAGAACATTCAGACTTATGGTCATCTGTGTCAGAAATTTAGTAATTAAAAGTAATGTAATGCAATCTGTAGAATAAGAGACTCAAAGAGTCTTAACAGTCTGAAAGTCTTATAGTCTTTAAGTCCCCTACCAGTAATGAAGAATATGTCTGGTGCACTAGTTCACTTGTCTCTTCCTTCCTTATTTTACTGTTTTACGTTTTATTTAGCATATAAGTAAAATTATTATTACTTATCACAGTATCGTTGTGGTCAGGCCATTTTGTCGTGATATTTTGGATTACATGTATATGTTTGTGTAGGTTTGTGAAGAAGCCAAGTGCCCCAATATTAGTGAATGCTGGGGTGGAGGGGAACATGAAACAGCAACAGCAACCATCATGGTGTGTACTGATAACAAAACAGCAAATAAATGAGTTAAGGGAAGTTAATGTATGTACATAGTTTATAAACATGTACATGTACACACTGGTA